ATTCTCTTTTGTCTTTTCATTCTATTTGAAAGTTCCTAAGTTTTGTGACACCCAATCTCGGGTGTCACATTATGATTAACTATCACCAGCTCGCTTGCACACTCACTGTCTTTTTCATTAAGGAGAGGACACTCCTCTATGAGAGGATTGCTTGTGGAAGCTACGTGGCTGACGTAAGGCTCTTTCCTGGTACATCTAACCCCCCTGTGTACAACCATCAAGTGCAAGGGACGCCAAATTCCGAAGAGAGACTTCTGAATTTGGCTCCTTTCTTGAAAATAACTACTCTCTAGCAACTTGACTTTATCAAACATTCACCGCTGTTTTTAAAAATAGGTCATGCACCTAGTACCCTGGGCAATGCATACTAGTTAAAAAATCACTGTATAGGGGAATGAAAGGGCATCATGAAAGATTGTGTTCAAATACCTGTATTTTACTTTAAACGTACATTGTAATTATAGTACTGTACTTCAAGTATTAAGTACACTAGATGCAGCATCTAGTGTACGTTATACTTTACTTAAAGTACATCACGTCTCATTTACTTTGTACTTTACTTGAAGTACCTTTTCGATGTACTTTACCCAACACTGCTGGAACCTAATCTGCCTCACAGGGGCGACGAGTCTCCCAGCTGTAGATGAGAAATTTAGCCAGTACAGTACAACCGCTATCCTGGGGTCTTTAACGTGCACCACGCAGTAGTGATACTCGACCGCCCGCCGGTACGATGCTCATCCAGATCGAAACGGGCAGGGCTGGGGATTGAGCTCAGGATCCCTGGGTTCTGCAGCGCGAGCTTTCGCTTCACGTGCTCCGAGCTGGTGCGCGCTAGCCCACTCGGCCACCGATTTGTTTTTTTATTTATTGCTCGGTCACTGACTCCATGGCTATAGACGCTTTACAGCAGCTGTGCATGGGCGCCGCCATAACCGACCTTCAGTTTTTGTTCCCTCTTATTCCGTTCGCTCCACTTCATCATTACCACAGCAAAACAGGTTATTGCCATTTTAGATGCTACTGTGTTCTTGTGCCCAGCATAGGCCCTTGTGAAGACCCGTCAACGCCCGCTTCAGTGGCTCGGCATCTCGGTAAGACAATCTGGCGCGTGTGTAAAGCGTCTATATTGACGTGACTTTATGTCAAGGCAATATATCCATTACACGAGATCCAACTTGTCACGGCTACATAGCCGTGACATGCTGTCACGGCTATACAGCTGTGACAAGTTGGATCTATCTTCTCACTGCTATAGGCGGCCCAATAGCCGGCCCCAGACTAAGAGTGTAGGCTTCCGTCAGACTGCGGACACCTCGGACGGGATTAGAAGCTGCCAAATGGCCAGCGCTTTGCCTCAGATGTCACCTAGACTTTTTTTATATAATATTTACGGTTAGAAGCCACCGAGACGGTCATGAAACAAAATATTGTCGCATCATTCTGACAAGCTATAGTGTGATTGCAAAAATAATTTCTGAAATTGATGAGAAACAATTTAATTTACAAATATGGTTGAATTGCAACCGCCGGAGTCCCTTTCACGGCGTCAATTTAATTTGGGTGTATGATACCGATACAGCGTGAAAGTCGTGTAAACGAAGTTGCGTTTCATTCGCAACCTCAGGCTTGTTGTTTTTGCACTTCTGGCTCGCTCACTGCGGGCCAGGCATGTGACATGTGACACAAATCTGGTGCCATTTCTGTCTCTCACGTGGCGTTCCATGCGGCACATGACGACAAAGGCAAATCAAGTTATTCTTGAACACGTGTCGCCATCTGTATTCCAAAATAAGAAACGGCAACTTGCCATAAATGAATGGGAAAAGGTCAAGGTGTTATACTAAACTTCACGTGCAATCTATCGACATGCAGTTTCTGAAAAATATATCAAAAGATGCTTCGTACTTTAATGTCTGGTTATTTTCGTTAGTTGACGTGATTCTGTTTTTATAGCACGAGGAAATAACACTATTTTAAACTGTCGTTTATTTAAAATGTTTATAATGTGTACAGTTCATTGCTTATTTTTTTTTAATTAGCTATATCCAACAGACCGTTTATGTAAATTATCGTGAACAATGGGACGTTTTAAGTTGAGAAAAAAATAGTTCCATATAAAAAACTGTGGTCCATTGAAACTTAAATAATAAACTAACAACAAAGTGTAAACGTAATATTGAGGCATTAAGCCCCTGACATGGCAAAAATACGGTTTTTCATGCCAGGCGTTAAAATTGTGTATCAGGACATCACCGAAAAATTGTTTCACTTTCAAGTCGCGTAAGCTTTTTTTTTTTTTATAATATAAAAAAAAAAGAATCCCAATGCAAAGTGCCCGCAAGTGCCCTGTGACGTAACAGTGTACCGCAAGGTGTCGGGGCGGTCAGAAGGGAGGCATCGACCTACGTCATTAAAAGTGGGTTCGCCGGAAGTCACGTGAGTTTCACTCCTCGTACTCTCCACGACCGCGCCTAAGGCTTTTTCTTCTTTTTTTTATTGTCTTTTCCACAAGCGATCGTAGAAAACGAAGTTTCAGTTCCACTAGCTTTTTATCGCTGCACCGTTGGTTAGTTTGCGTGCTGTAAAAGTTCAGGACGAAGAGTCAGTGGATCGACGTGATGGAGGCCATTGATGAAAGCGTTTCGAGTACAAGCCAGTGTACGAGTGCATGCCATCAGCCCGATGGTACGATACTCGGCACAAAACAAACTATCGAGTTAAAAAAAAAAAAAAATTAACGCTCGCAGAAATTAGGATTGCTATCATAGGACACGCCCGATCGCATTTTCGAAGGTTTAAGCACGAAAGTCGTCGAATCATCGGATACCCTCCAGGCTGAAGATGCCTGTTGTCTAGGGAATACCAACCAGTGAGCCTACCAAGTAAAAGTGAACGTCGAGCATAAAGTACGTGTTTTGTCATCAACATGTGTAGAACGTGTTTACGGTTCACTGACTCCTCTTCTTTACCTTTACACTAACATTAGGCGATGAAAAGCAAATAAAATAAACCTTGTCTGCTTGGATCGCTCGCGCAGATGCGGAGAATATCAACAATATATATATATAAAAAATAAAAAAAAATATTACACTCGGTCCCGGTAAGCACGAGGAGTGATACAACTCACGTAACTTCCGGCGATGCCTTCCTTTTGACTGCCCCGACATCTTGCGGTACATTGTTACGTCACAGGGCACTGGCGGGCACTTTGAATTAGGGCTTCGTATTACTATTTTTTATTAAAAAAACAAATACGCAACTCTAAAGTGAAACAATTTTTTGGTGCTGTCCTAATACACCACTTTAACGCCTAACATAAAAAAAAAAAAAAAATTTTTTTTTTTTGGCGTGTCAGAGGCCCTTTAAAGTAGAGTTCAAGGAGTACTAAGGCGATTTTCTCATGTTCGCTGATTTGCCTGAAAATTGGCTCGACACAGATAGACACGGCTGCACCACTTCCCCAAATACTGTGTAAGAAAAAAAAAATTGGGAAATTGTTGATTTTTTGAATTTCGTTTTATCGTGTTTGCCAAGCCGGGAGCTACTGGCAACATTGAAGTGTGACGACAGAAATGGTACAAAGTGGGCAGTAAACCATCTTCCCAACAGATCACAAGACGTTTGATTGTGGAAAAATAATGCTTGGTAGCTGATTCACTGAAAAACACGCAAAAAGCACTCAACAATATCTGTTTAAGACTACCTGCACGACCTGAAAGTCTGTACCATTTGTGACGTCACACCACCGTGGGAGAGCGGGGAAATTTGAACGTTGGTTTCGGCATCACCTTCATTTACGGTTTTCTCAATTGCTATATTGAATTTCGAGAAAATAAATAGCATACCGTGAAGATTAAGTCGGGGTGTCTAGCGCCCGGGAAAACCGGGAATTGTCAGGGAAATTTTAATAACCGGGAAAAATCAGGGGATTGTCAGGGATATTGACAAAAAGCGAGCCCAGCCAGGGAAAAGGAGCCGAAAACGCTATCGGGTGTCCTGAGCCAAGCTAAAGGCTTGAGGACTTGTGGGCAGAAAAATAGGCAATAACATTCTGCTTGGAGCAGGGCCCGCGGGCTCTGCTCAATCGATGTAGAGTGTAATACCCGATGCAAAGGAAACAGCCGACAAATCCAGGTTAAGCCTTGGATTGGATTGGATTGAGGGCGCGACGCTAGACTAGATCCAGTTAGAGCTGCTAGATCTATTAATAATGACAACTGGGAAAGCTGCAGACCCCAATCCAATTCAATCCAAGCCGAAAGTATCGGAAGGTGTGCATCTGGCGGCTATGCCATGCTACCATTTGGTTATTGACGTGTGTGGTTGAGCGCATAGGGGTTGAGCGTCGTGTTGTCATTATGTTTCCGGAAGTGGCTTCTTCACTGACAATGTCTGCGGCAAGAAAGGGCTCGTTTAATCCGGACTGGACGAACCCAAATATTTCGGAATATGCAAGTTGGATTGAGCTCGTGCTAAATTATTGTTACAGTTCTGAATGCTCACTGCCTTGTGTTGTAATGGTCTTATATAGACAATTGCAAGCATGGCGCCACAAGTGGTGCCCCATGCGTGCAAGCGCGTGCAACGCGCGGGTGAACGTAGCTTTGGCAAGCTCGTAATCGCACGGGCGTGCCTGCTCGAGCAGAGACATGGCGGCGGCCAGTCGCCCAGCTTGCAATCGTCTATATTTAACCGCTTCTACCATGGTCAGGGAATTTCACCTGAAATTGTCAGGGAAAACCTGAAAAACTCTTGGAATTTCAAAGATTTCAAAGTAATAATTTTCTAGACACTGATTAAAGTCCGGGTAGTCAGACAATGCAGTATGATTGGGTAGCTCAAAAACGGCCGGAGTAACCCTTTAAGAAACAGATTTTTATTTAACATTAACTTTATCACTGCAGGATACAAAAAAAAAAAAAAAAATGAACCGTCAAAAAAGAAGCAAATCGGCATACAGAGTGGGGTTGCACCTTAAGAGTAAAATCATTGTCGCTCTATTTCAAGTACGCCTTGTACAAAAGCTCGCTCCGGCGACTGCCGTGCTCTTGCTCCAGGAGGAAAAGAACGTCTCTGACATTGGCCCTCTTCAACCGCGGACGCGCCGGAACCATGGAACTTGCGCTTGAGCACGTGATTGCCGAGCTCTCGCCGCTTTGTTGTTCTCGTGATCCGACTGCTAACGACGCGGTGATGTTGGCTTCTCCTTGACGCATCTTTTTCGCGTCCGCTTCGTGCAATTCTTCCGCCTTGTGCTTGAGCTTCAGTTGCTCGGGGTCTTCCATCACGCTGCTACTCCTTGCCGCGCGAACCAGATTCTCTCGCTCCTGTTCACTGCGTCGTCTCTTCGCAACCTTGTCTATTTCCTCCAAGAACCTCAGTTGTCCCCTCACGTCTTGCGTGACATCGTAGCGATCGTCGACTCTGTCGTTTTCTTGCCGGTGCTCAACGATGACGATGAGTTTCTCCAAGAGTGACCGGAGGCGTTCTTGAGTAGCCTGCGACATGAGGGCCAGAACGTCGTCTGGAATCTCGCTGATACCGTACTTCGCAGCGATGTCTGCTATCCGTCTTCGAAGCGGCTTCGTGAAAAGGAAATTGTACTCCTGGCACGAGCGCACTTCAGTGCCTACGGCGTGTGACGACAAAATGTTACGAGTTTCCTCAATTAGATTGACACCTCCCATCGCCGCAACGTCAATTATGTCATCGTCAATCTTTTGCGACACGGAGGCTCGTTTTTCTTTTAGGATCGCGGTGGGATCTCTAACCACTGGTGGCATCCCTTTGAATGGCAGAATCCCACTCGAGAGTGATGCGAGTCCGGTCGATTTCGATAGTAGAAGGCTGTTTCCCGCAGCTGCCGCACTCGCAGTGGATGCTGAACACGCCGCAACTAGTCTCTGCTGTTGTGGAAACACAGCCTGAAGTCTCGAAGGATTTTTAAGCTGCATGGCGAGCGATCTGGGAGTCAAAACTTGCATGCGTGTCGCCGAACTAGGAAAAATTGACAGAGAATTGGGAACTTTTTGTAGGCTTTGAGCTGGCATCATCGCCGGTAGCATTGGGACGGCAGTTCTTGGCGGGCGCACTCCTTCGATAGACGACTCTTTCGTGAGTAGCGAGTGCCTCAGATGTGGCAGACTGTTCCTAAGGAAAGGAACGAGACATGGTTGTGGGGAAGAGTTCAGCTCCTTCTCCAACTGCTTCGTGAAATATTCCGGTTGAATAGTTCCATCGATAAGACCCTGAATGAGACATCTAACATTGGTGGCAGTGTGCCCGGGCTGAGCGCTCGCGAGGCGAATCAAGGTGGAGAGAAAGTTCTTGCATTTATTTTTTGCCATGTCTGGCGACATCTGAGACGGGGTTGAGGTCCCTGTGGGACGGTTGGCTAGAGTGCTCTGAGCAGAGAATGGCTGCGCACCGGCACCTGCCCTTACCGTCGGCGGGTTCAAGCCACCCTGCTGTTGCATCGTGCCGTGGCCGATTAAATTTGCTTGTCCAACACCTGGCAGGATGTCAGGTCCTGGCTGTCTCTGCCGCAACACCGTTCCCGCCATCTGAGTGGGTGCAGTGTATCTGGCGGGCATTTGATGGAACATTTGTTGTCCTCCACGCGTTTCTGGTGGCCGCAGTCTAAATGCCTCCCTTCCCATAACGGTTGGTGCTGACGGACCTGAATTGAGAGCAGGGCCCACGTTCACCATTTGGAGCTGGCCACCCTCAGTCTTCACCAGCACGGCGTCACGCGTCACCCCACTCTGATGCGAGGGGGCACCCTGGACGGCTGAAGTTGTCCCTCCAGCTCTGGTGGCTAACGGCTGCGAGGTCAGTCGACTTGGGTTCTCAAGGCATACTCGGGGCCCGAGTGCTCGCGGCTCACCGGGCACCGGCCTTGGAGGGTTCATCTGCAGAATTACCAAGTTCCGGAGAGTAATTAATTATCGGCATATTTTCGTCGTGAGGGCGTGTGCTACAGCTTCTTAAGAATGCAAAAACGACAGTAATTACGTTGCCATTCATGGCAATATGGCGTCACGCAAGCGTCACTTGAGCTCCAGAAGTTGCAATGATTTTGCTAGAGGCCCAACCTGATGTTTTTATGTTCATAACTAATGTGGAAATTGTTACTTTCAGTGGCTGTTATGTTATACAGGGAGTTTTTTTCTTATTATTCACAGATAAAAAAAGGCCGCACCCATACACTGGTGTGGTCTGTGCAGGTAAGGTATATGAACTGGCGGAAATGTGATGTGGGAAAATCGTCACGATAAGTGGGGCAATTTGAGAATTTACCTCGCCCTCATTGTACCCTAGCCGTGAGGTGAAAATTTGATTACAATATTTCTAGTCGGCGCTACGGGACGAGAAATGTCATCTGTGTGCACGGCTTCAAACCGAAACTAACCTGCCAAAGCGCGCCAGTGACGTCGATCTCACCCACCTGCCCACGCCGCAGGTAACGTGAGCAGTGCGACGCAAGCCGAGAGCAAAGGGATCGACGCCACAGGCGCGCTTGAACGGGTTAGTTTCGGTCTCGAGACATCTACTAGGATGACGTTTCTCGCCCCGTACGCCGACTTCAAAATTTTTCAAAATTACACATCACGTCTAGATTATAAGGAGGTCGAGCGTCAATTCTCCAACTATACATTATGCATCCAAAACTAAAAATTAAAAACAAGTGTTTTTTTTTTTTTTAATTCGTTAGTTAACTATTTAAACAATTTCGCATCTTTTCTAGTGGCTCGCATGGCCCCCAACTTAGCCCCAGGGCTGAAGAAACCCTAATGCAAGTACTTCATTTATTTTATTTTTTGTTTGTTTAAGCAAAGGAAAATATTTTGTACAGGGCGTATTCGCAGGATGTTCATTCGCCGTTTTCTTGTTCGATGTCATCCTGATGATGCTTAGACTACACATTTGATGGTGTCATGTGATTCCTCGAACTGCTCGCCGTAGGCATGCGCCAGCCCATGACATCAGACTTGTGGACGAGTTTACATCAGTGGACACACCCGCGTTCGTTCCGATGTGTACAAAATCACAGTTCAGAGCATTGGAATATCACAGCGCAGCACGCCCATGTTCGTCGCATCGAAAGCGAGCAAAAATACACAAAGAACATACGTATACGAACGCAGCCCGTTTCTGGAATGCATTTTAAAAACATGTTTCCAGCCATTTTTGGGAGCGACGAACATAGACGTGCTCGGCTGTGGGGTTCGCAAATCGGGCTGCGATTTTTGTAAACCTTGGAACGACAGTATGAGAACGGCACGGAGCTCTTTCAGTTGTACCTCCAGCGCAATCGGATGTCTGGTGGGCTTCGAGCGTGCACTCGCATCTAAAGCACGGCGGAGGGCAACGAGCGCCTTCAGTAGGCCTGGCATCTGAAGAAGACTCCTTTCTCATCTCTCCCCCTGGCAGAAAGAAACGGGGCTTCATCCGAAACGCCGATGTCCCGGCGACCCGTGATCGCAATTCGACGTGTGTCCTCATAACGTCATTAAACGGTCTACTGTCTGAATGGGCCTTAATAAGACTCTGTACCTGGCTTTCAATGATTGGATGAAAACCTCCGGACCCGTAACCTCAAATACCTGATGGCCCTCAGTAGGCGATCAGACATCAAACGCCAAACACACCTGAACAGCAATCTAGGCGTTTGCGCGTCTCAACCCAGCGACAGAGGAAGTTCGTCAACGAGCGTTCCTGCATGGCCGATGGTTACTCGATCGACAAAGAACTGCTTCTGTTCTATCGGCATGCAGCGGTGATCAGTGTTCGCTCAAATAGCGGGATGAAATAGATTGTATGGCTCTAATATCAGGATAGGATACAGGATAGATTTACCTTCGCGTGAAGCTTGGAAGCGAAGCTTGTCTCTGTTACTTCTTGCGTGGATCTTCAGCAAAACTAAGCTATCGGCGTTCGAAGGCTGCCCTGGATGAGCCTTCAGAGCCCGTGCCTGGTGCGCGAGCTCAGTAATGCGTTTCGCTCGCTGCACGTGCAGTTGTCTACAGCAGTAGCTGTTCTAAAGCAAAAACCTAAAACAAATAGCATTCTGCACGTGCCTTTGTCGGCACCTAGGCTGTGTTCTAAATCTTACCCAAATGGATCCGAGTTACTCCGGCGGGTCGTGTCACGTGACAACACAGGTTGAAAAGCGCTGAACGCGGGTAGGTTTTAGAACGCCAAGGGACCGAACTGCTACCCTGGAGTAAGATGGAGTAAATTTTGGAGCACGGCCAAAATTTTGATTAGGGAGTTTTATATCCTAATTACACTAACGCTCTTAAAGGGGCCATGAAACGATGTTTCTACTCCATTCTTAGCTTTAATCTTCAACTCAAAGGCGAATGGAGAAATCAAGTCGTTGTTACATGCTTGGGCACCGGTGCGATGACTCCAAGCTTCCACCGTGCTTTTTATGCACACCATAGAACTTGTCATTCCCAAGTGACGATAAGTTCCGTCCGGGCACTCATTGGTCCCGAATGCGAATCCAAATATTCGTCGACGGATGGATTGTTGACGAGCGCATACGTCCAAGTGGCGCAGTTCTCGTTGCGTGAGCTGGAGTCGGCTGAAGTCATTTTGGCACTGCTGACGTGCTTTGGGTACCGCGGATGTATCATGTGAAAAGGCGGATAGCTTTCGAAGGAAAGCAGGTACGAAATAGGGTGCTATATTTTCAAATATTCATACCGAAAAGCTGGTTTTTGACTTTTTACCCTCTTTCTTTTGGCTCACTAAACGATAAGCGATTAGTAAAGGCACAATTTAAAATCATTCATACCAGCCCAAAATTCGTTTCATGGTTGCATGTTTTTTTTTTTTTTTTTTTAACTGTCATTAAACCAACGATCGTCGACATCTCCCAACTGTCATTGAGCTATACTAAGCTGCCCGGTGTTACACGATACACTAAATAAGCTACACTTCAGAGTAACGACACTTAACCATATTGTGGCTTAAAATCATGGTTGCAGTTATCTGAAGCTTTATCTGAAATCACAGGAAACACTTTTCCGTCCACCACAAATGTTTAAACAGTTCGCGACAAAGCAAAGCAATATTACATGAGCTTCGTCACACCGAATCTAATGCTGAGGAAGTCGCACTTTTGAATGCTGGCGATCGGCAGTTGCGTCTGCTCTGCAAACGAACCAAAATGGCGGCGCCCACAACAATGTTGGGGAACGGAGTGCCGATACGCTAACGCAGCTAGTTTAGTGACTCTAGGCCTATCAACCCCGGTTGAGATGCGCGTCAAGGGACACAGTTTAAACCGAAAGACTTTGGCTACTGTGCCTGGGACACCTGGGACACGTCTCCGACTGGTGTGTTTACGGCGTCCAAGAAAAGTGGTCCCTCGATTTCCGCTTGATGACGTCATAAAAGTGTCATGCTCTCGCCGGTCGCGATCCTTGCGGTGTCCCAACAGCTGTGGTGAACGCGTAAGACGCCAGTTCTGCTACGGGTCGCTCTCCAGCGTGGCATTCTACGGAAGTTTGAGCAGCGAGAATTTGGGACGCCGTGACGACGGCGACGCTCGCGTTCGGTTGTGCTACTCGCAGCTTCTCGTTGGCATTTCTACAAGTAACTGCCAGGATTGCGACATGCAACAAAATGACACTTGGGCTTCTGTGACGTCATTTGTTGCCTCTCCGGGACCACTTTTGATATATGGGCAGCGCAGGACGGCTAAATGCACCAGTCGGTGACGCGCTCCAGGCACCATACTTTGGCTTTCGCGACGAACCGTGATCGTTCTAGCAGCAGCTCTGGCTCCGGATTTGGCACGTATCCAGAAGAGGGGGGTGGGGGGGTAATGCATAGAGGCCACCCCCCTCCCCCTTATAAAGCATTCTCTTATAACCCCCCCCCCCCCCCCCCCCCCATAAGCCCCCCAAACAAAATGCTGGCTCCGTGCCTGCCCCGAATCATAGGCCAGATTCATAAAAATAACCTCTTACCTACGACAACTTAGCTATGAAGTTCGTAAAGTTACGATCATCATAAGATGAGGCGAGAACGGTATTCACAAACGCGTTCTTAAGTGAGAGGAGGAAGGTTACGACCTCGTACGGAAAAACGACGACTTCCGGTGCTGTTGATATGGCGACGGCGTCTTCGGCAACACGAGCAACCAATCGGAGAGCTCGGCATAGTTCGGAGAACGTGGATTGGCTGACTACTCGTTGATAGCCAGCTCTGTGTGTGTCCTGTCCTGCCTGTGTGTAAGTTACAGTGTTCAGGCTGTTTCCCACAAACACAGGCGGCCTTTCCACCACCGCTTATCTGGGGTTCGTGTCCGTGCAGTGATATCATCATCATCATCATTTATTATTCCTTGAGGTCCAGGGGGCATTACACAAGGAAGCTAACACTTAAAAAAAAAAAAAAAAAAAAAAATAAGGTAATGGCTGCAGAAAATTTCCCAGTGTCAGATAAGGAAACAATTACGTCAGGCATTGAGTTCCAGTCGTCAGTGGCTAATGGTAGACATTTGGTGAATGACGGTTGACGATTAAATTGGACGGAGTTTACAAGA